CTAACACGGTGAAACCCTGTCTCTACTAAAAATACAAAAGAAAAAACAAAACAAAGCAAAAAAAAAAACATTGGCCAGGCGTGGTGGCGGGCGCCTGTAGTCCCAGCTACTCTGGAGGCTGAGGCAGGAGAATGGCGCAAACCCGGGAGGCGGAGCTTGTAGTGAGCCAAGATTGCGCCACTCACTGCACCCCAGCCTGGGCGACAGAGCAAGACTACGTCTCAAAAAAAAAAAAAAAAGAAAAGAAAGGTTGGGCGCAGTGGCTCACGCCTATAATCCTAGCACTTTGGGAGGCCGAGGCGGGTGGATCACCTGAGCTTGGGAGTTCGAGACCAGCCTGACCAACATGGAGAAACCCCGTCTCTACTAAAAATACAAAAAAATTATCCAGGCGTGGTGGGGCGCGCCTGTACTCCAGCTACACGGGAGGCTGAGGCAGGAGAATCACTTGAACCCGGGAGGTGGAGATTGTGGTGAGCCGAAATCGCACCATTGCATTCCAGCCTGGGCAACAAGAGTGAAACTCTGTTTCAAAAAAATACAAAAATTAGCTGGGCGTGGTGGCGGGCAACTGTAATCCCAGGGGCTGGTGAGGCTGAGGCAGGAGAATCGCTTGAACCTAGGTGGCGGAGGTTGCAGTGAGCCAAGATGACACCACTGCACTCCAGCCTGGGCAAGATAGCAGTAACTCTGTCTCAAAAAAAAAAAGGAAAACAGGATTTTTGTTGTTTTTCTGTTTGTTCCTTCTTTGTAGAAGGATATTTTGGAGCCTATTAGTATCACTGACATCTTTTTCATCCTTTAATTTATAGGCCTTTAGCAAAAAACAGATAGATGATCGAAAGGAATGGTTAACTAATTTCATGGAGGATAGAAGACAACGAAAGTTACTTGGACTTCCTGAGGTAAAAGTATTAAATATATCCCACAGAATGGACTGTTAGACTGACCTTTTCGTATTGATACTATAGCAAATTAAACTTACTCTGAATAGTTATTTTAGTAAAAAATTTGATATGATAGAATTGTGCAGCAGTTAAATTTGCTTTATCTTGAAAACATAAAATATTTATGTATTATTCAATATTTCTTTAAGACTTAAGAATTACAGAAATAATTCTTAGTTCTGAAAGGTTTCTGTTTGATTTTTGTGTTGAGCATTGTTAAGACTGGTAGTCTCATGTAATACTATTTGGTCCTTCAGGATTACTTGTATGGACAAACTACCACATATCTGACATATAATGACTTCATCAACAAGGAACTTATCTTGTTCTCAAATTCTGATAACGAGAGATCTATCCCTTCTATGGTGGATGGTGAGTTCCAATTTGTCTGTTTTCATTGTAAGATGGAAATCAAATTCCAAAAATGGTTAAATTGAGGATACTTATGTTTTTGCTCTTATTTCATTTTAAAGGTTTGAAACCAGGTCAGAGAAAGGTTTTGTTTACTTGCTTCAAACGGAATGACAAGCGAGAGGTAAAGGTTGCCCAGTTAGCTGGATCAGTGGCTGAAATGTCTTCTTATCATCATGGTGAGGTAAATATACAATCCATGTTTCCAGAAAGCATTATGTCAGAAATCCCTGCAGAGTCATTCTCAAAATAGATTTGGTGAAAGTATAAGCTCATATATTCATAGTAAAGAACAAGTTGGTAAAATCTGTCAAACAATAAAACTGCTTGCTCTTTGATTTCTGAAAGTAGTATTCCTGCAGGGATACTCATAAGTCTGCAAAGGTCTACATTAAAAGATACTTAGTATGTTTATTATAACTTTGTGATGTCAAAATTTAGACCTCCACTGATTTGAAAATTGTTATAATAAATTGTGACACATGTATGCATAGAATCTGCTATAGCTTCAGTAAAACTGTGTACACTGACACTGAGGAATATTCACGGTCTATTGTCAGGTGAGGAGAAGAAGAGGCAGAACAATAACTAAAAAGGTCTACGAGGATATGTTCCAAATTGTTCACTTTAGTTACCCCTGGGAATTGGAAAGGGCAACTTTCACTTTTTATATGTGTCTGAATTGTTTGACTTTACACCAATGTTTTGTGATTGCTTTTTGCATTGATTAGGTAAAACAGTTTTAAAGCACTAGACTGCCTACAGGTTTCTAGAATTTTAAATATAATGGTTGTCTTGTTGCTTTCAGTCAAAATATAGTAGGGATACAATAAATTTTCACCCAACGAACATTTGTTGCATTTGTTGAATGCCTACCATGTACCAGGTATACAAAGATAAATAAAAATAAAATGTGTTCCTTATCCCCAAGATATAACAATTTAGCCAGAAGGCCAATACACACACAGCTATAGAATAAAGTGATACATGCTAGAATAGAAATGAGCACAGCATTGTAACACAAAGGAGGAAGTATTTCGTTTTGCTGAGGAATCTTCAAAGTTGAGTGGGACTTACTAGAAATTGTTGGATGGGCCGGGCGCGGTGGCTCAAGCCTGTAATCCCAGCACTTTGGGAGGCCGAGATGGGTGGATCACGAGGTCAGGAGATCGAGACCATCCTGGCTAACACGGTGAAACCCCATCTCTACTAAAAATACAAAAAAATTAGCCGGGCGTGGTGGCGGGTGCCTGTAGTCCCAGCTACTCAGGAGGCTGAGGCAGGAGAATGGCGTGAACCCAGGAGGCGGAGCTTGCAGTGAGCCGAGATAGTGCCACTGCACTCCAGCCTGGGCGACAGAGCAAGACTCCGCCTCAAAAAAAAAAAAAAAAAAAAAAAAAGAAATTGTTGGATGGCAGCCCTAAACTTAGAGCCAGAAGTTGTAGGTTCAAGTACTACTTCTGCCATCTATTAATCTGAGGAAAGTCACTAAACAACTAAACCTCACAAAATGTTACAGGATTATAATGAGATTAAGTCATAATAATGTATTTGTATTAGTAAAAGCCTCAACTTAATGAATCTTTTTTCCCCACAGATGTCACTAATGATGACCATTATCAATTTGGCTCAGAATTTTGTGGGTAGCAATAATCTGAACCTCTTGCAGCCCATTGGTCAGTTTGGTACCAGGCTACATGGTGGCAAGGATTCCGCTAGTCCACGATACATCTTCACAATGCTCAGGTAGGTATGCTTTCACTTTCACCATTCCAGTTTTGAAACAATGTGAGATTTAGTTGGCCAAAAAAACAAAAACTCAGTTAATCAGAAGATACCGGCATCTAGTGGGCAGAGGCCAGGGGTGAGGCTTATAAATACCCTAACATATACAGGAAAGCCCCGCCATAACAAAAAGAATTATCCAGCGCAACATGTCGATTATGCTAAGGTTGAGAAATCTTGATGTAGAGCTTGGGACTGAGTAAAGGAGACTTTGATTCTTCCTAAATATCACAATTGAAATTTTACTCCTATACAAGCCTATGGAAAGTATATTATGAATGGTCAATTTTCAGCTGTCATCCCAGTCACCCTTTCAGTGGCATTCAAACAGTTACTAATCGCTCCATCCTTCTTGAAACTATTTGGCCTCTATGACTGTAGACTCTTCTGGTTCTCTTTTTCCTTATTAACTGTCTCTGCTGGGTCCTTGTTACCTTCCCGACCTCTAAATACTGGCCCATTCTAGGACTCCTTCATCAGATCTCTTTCCAATATCTCTACACTCAATTCCCAAATGATCTCCCATTCATCTGGTCTATACCTTTAAATCTCCAGTCCTGATCTCTCCCCTGAACTCTCAACTTTTATGTCTGACTGCCCTCTCAACATTGGCCACTTGGATATCTAGTTAAGTTTTATCTCAAACATAAGTCTGAAACCAAATCCTTAGTTTTCCTGTCTCAGTAAATGGAATGCCATCCTTCTAACTGCTCAGGCTAAAAACCTTGTCACCTTTGACTCCTTTGCTCGATACTTATGTCCAGTTCCTCAGCCCATCCTATAGGATCTGCATTGGAAAAATACTAAGCCACCCCCATCTCATCTAAACTATTGTAATATACCATCTTATAGCAGCCAATTATTTTTTTAAAAAATAAGTCACTCTGATTCAGAACCTTCAACTGCTCAGAGTAAAATCTAAAGACCTATTTTAGCTAACTAGACATTATGTGATCCATGTCCCCACCTTCCATATCTTTTGATTCCTTCTCATACCATCTCTTCTCCAACCACACTGTCCTCGGCCTATACTCAACTATACCAAGCACATTTTCTCTTCAGGGCTGTTTACTTACTGGTTCCTTTGCCTGCAACGCTCTTTCTGTAGACATCCAAATGGCTCAGTCCCTCAGTTTCTTTTTTCTTTTTTTTTCCTTTTGAGATGGAGTTTCACTCTTTTTGCCCAGGCTGGAATGCAGTGGCACGATTTTAGCTCACTACAACCTCTGCCTCCTGGGTTCAAGTGATTCTCCTGCCTCAGCCTCCTGTGTAGCTGGGATTACAGGTACACGCCACCATGCTCAGCTAATTTTACATTTTTAGTAGATATGGGGTTTCACCATGTTGGCCAGGCTGGTCTTGAACTCCTGCCCTCAGGTGATCCACCTGCCTCAGCCTCCCAAAGTGCTGGGATTATAGGCACGAGCCACCGCACCTGGCCCCCTCAGTTTCTTTTCTCTGCTCAAACATTATCCTATCAGAAACGGCTTATACTTTCCTTAGCAACTCTTCAGTCACTTTCCTACTTTTTCTTCTCAGTGTTTATCCCACCACCTAACAAAATGTATGTTCAGTGTCAAACCTCTACTGGAATGTGAGCTCCTTGAGGATTGAGACTTATGTCCATGTGCCTGACACATAGAAAGTGCTCAATAAATAGTGTTAAATGAATATTTGTCAGCAAGTAAAACCAAGATAATTTTCATGTATAACACATGTCCTTTCGATAAAAGTTAAGTGTCAAATTCAGTATTTTTATAAAATAACATTCTTTGATTCTTTTCTTTATTTAGCTCTTTGGCTCGGTTGTTATTTCCACCAAAAGATGATCACACATTGAAGTTTTTATATGACGACAACCAGCGTGTTGAGCCTGAATGGTACATTCCTATTATTCCCATGGTGCTGATAAATGGTGCTGAAGGAATCGGTACCGGGTGGTCCTGCAAAATCCCCAACTTTGATGTACGTGAAGTTGTAAATAACATCAGGCGTTTGATGGATGGAGAAGAACCTTTGCCAATGGTAAGTATTCTGTGTGCGTTAAGAGCCTTAACTTTTCTTGGGTTTCAATTGAGTAGACTGTATGAATAAAGAGGATGCAAACATAAAATTTAATTTCATACTTTATACTTAGATTTTTTGTTAAACGCTGTTGTGATTTCTGCCTAGTATCACGTTTAAAAAACATTGTTTTTTAAAATGCCAATTTAGCTTCCAAGTTACAAGAACTTCAAGGGTACTATTGAAGAACTGGCTCCAAATCAATATGTGATTAGTGGTGAAGTAGCTATTCTTAATTCCACAACCATTGAAATCTCAGAGCTTCCCATTAGAACATGGACCCAGGTAAATAATTGTGGATTTCTTTTTTAGTTTTGTATCAAAAGAAACACTTTTTGTACCATTGCTGTTGACTATTCAGGAGCCTGTATTTTAGAAATTTCAGGATTATTTCTTTCTTTAGACATACAAAGAACAAGTTCTAGAACCCATGTTGAATGGCACTGAGAAGACACCTCCTCTCATAACAGACTATAGGGAATACCATACAGATACCACTGTGAAATTTGTTGTGAAGATGACTGAAGAAAAACTGGCAGAGGCAGAGAGAGTTGGACTACACAAAGTCTTCAAACTCCAAACTAGTCTCACATGCAACTCTATGGTATGTATTTGTTTTGTGAGATGTACATATGTTTCCATTTATATTAAAGATTAATATCAATTTTAAAAGTATATCTTAGTCTACCTTTATAAAGTTTAACCAATTTGTCTATTCTTGGCTCTAATCTTGTTTTCCTTTTCCAGGTGCTTTTTGACCACGTAGGCTGTTTAAAGAAATATGACACGGTGTTGGATATTCTAAGAGACTTTTTTGAACTCAGACTTAAATATTATGGATTAAGAAAAGAATGGCTCCTAGGAATGCTTGGTGCTGAATCTGCTAAACTGAATAATCAGGCTCGCTTTATCTTAGAGAAAATAGATGGCAAAATAATCATTGGTATGTTTTGGGAATAATAACTGCTTTACTAAAACTCTAGTTACACCAAACTTTCTTTAAACATTTTTGGTGAGAGTAATGGTGGAGAAAGAGGCAAAATCCATTTAATTCACCTGGTCACTTATACAAGCATTTCTTTTAAATATCTGATTAGGTATTTATAGTTTGAAAGAGATGGTGTTTCCTTGACTGAGCATCTTGAGAAATCAAGATTTAGTTGACAATTAGACCTGAGAATAGAGAGCTAGAAGACCTTGCATAAACTGATTGATCAAGCGAATAGATACACCAATCATATTTACAGGAACAGAAAATAAAAGAGACCGAGAGAGAAGAGATAATAAGGCTGATGGTTAAAAAAAAAAAACAAAAAAACAGGAAGATTATAAATGGCTTATACTGTCTGGGTGCAATGGCTCATGCCTGTAATCCCAGCACTTGAGCTGGGGAGGTCAAGGCTGCAGTGAGCCTAGGTAGTGCCACTGCACTCCAGCCTGGGCACAAGAGTGAGAGAGACCCTGTCTCCAAAAAAAAAAAAAAAAAAAAAAAGATTTGATCGTAGCCTCATATATGATTTGACTGCCCTCTTGTGGTACTTTACGTTTGTCAGTAGTTTAGGGAGACTTGCCTGTATACCAGGATATACAAATTTATGCAAGTACCAAGACAGTTTAATTTCCAGTTTTAAACTTTTCACTTGTGGTAAAACCTTATCCCTTTCCTAAAATATTACTCAAAATCATTATCTCTGTTTACTTTTTTTAAAATAGAAAATAAGCCTAAGAAAGAATTAATTAAAGTTCTGATTCAGAGGGGATATGATTCGGATCCTGTGAAGGCCTGGAAAGAAGCCCAGCAAAAGGTAATCTTGAGTGGCATTTTTCTGTATTGTTAAAGACTGTGTATTGTATAATGTTTGTTTCACATTTTCTAATAAAGCTAGATTTTAATTCATCCTTTAGGTTCCAGATGAAGAAGAAAATGAAGAGAGTGACAATGAAAAGGAAACTGAAAAGAGTGACTCTGTAACAGATTCTGGACCAACCTTCAACTATCTTCTTGATATGCCCCTTTGGTATTTAACCAAGGAAAAGAAAGATGAACTCTGCAGACTAAGAAATGAAAAAGTGAGTTGATGGTAGGATGGTACATGCTGCTTAGTTTTGTTCTAATGGTAAAAGTAAAATTTGTATATTGCATGAAAATGCTACTTGTGTACATATATTAACTCAATTTTGTAATTATGAAGGAACAAGAGCTGGACACATTAAAGAGAAAGAGTCCATCAGATTTGTGGAAAGAAGACTTGGCTACATTTATTGAAGAACTGGAGGTGTGTAGTTTATAATGCCCATGTTAGAATTTTTATTAATGAAATAGTATATTCCAGCAATACCTTTGTCAACATAGTTCACAATTGGCAATAAAAAGAAAATAAGAGGCATAAGGACAAATTCAAAATAACATATAAAAGAACAGATTATTGGCCAGGCGCGGTGGCTCACGCTAGTAATCCCAGCATTTTGGGAGGCTGAGTTGGGCAGATCACTTGAGGTCAGGAGTTCAAGACCAGCCTGGCCAACATGGTGAAACCCCATTTCTACTAAAAACACAAAAATTAGCCAGGCATGGTGGTGCATACCAGCTTCTCAGGAGGCTGAGGCAGGAGAACTGCTTGCACCGGGAGGCAGAAGTTGCAGTGAACTGAGATCGCACCACTGCACTCCAGCCTGGGCAACACAGCGAGACTCTGTCTCAAAAAAAAAGGCCAGATTGTTAAATACTACTTAGAATACAGGGCCAGGCGCAGTGGCTCACACCTATAATCCCAGCACTTTGGGAGGCCAAGGCGGGCAGATCACCTGAGGTTGGGAGTTTGAGACCAGCCTGACCAACATGAAGAAACCCTGTCTCTACAAAAATTGCAAAATTAGCCAGGTGTAGTGGCACATGCCTGTAATGCCAGCTACTTGGGAGGCTGAGGCAGGAGAATCACTTGAACCCAGGAGGCGGAGGTTGTTGAGCTGAGATTGTGCCATTGCACTCCAGCCTGGGCAACAAGAATGGAATTCCGGCTCAAAAAAAAATACTATTTAGAATACAGTAAATGATACCAGGAGACTGCCCAGACGTTTTTGGACAAAAAAGGGAAAGAGCAGGAGTTGATTTTTGATAAAGGGAAGAACATATTAGGACTGAGAAGATAAAAAGAGCTTAAATGTGGAAGACCACCAACCCAGTCCCCCAAGTCAACTTAACAAAGCCGGCCGGGCATGGTGCCTCACGCCTATAATCCTAGCACTTTGGGAGGCCGAGGCAGGCGGATCACCTGAGGTCAGGAGTGCAAGACCAGCCTGGCCAATATGGTGAAACCCTGTTTCTACTAAAATACAAAAATTAGCCGGGCATGATGGTGGGTGCCTGTAATCCCAGTTACTTGAGAGGCTGAGATGGGAGAATTGCTTGAACCCAGGAGATGATGGTTGTGGTGAGTCGAGATAGTGCCACTGCACTCCAGCCTGGGCAGCTGAGTGAGACTCCATCTCCAAAAAAAAAAAAGAACAAAGCCACAGGGCATGGTGGCTCATGCCTGTAGTCCTAGCACTTTGGGAGGCTTAGGTGGGCAGATCACTTGAGATCAGGAGTTCGAGACCAGCCTGGGCAACATGGTGAAACCCTGTCTCTACTAAAAATACAAAAATTAGTTGGGCGTGGTGGCATCCGCCTGTGATCCCAGCTACTCAGGAGGTTGAGGCACGAAAATTGCTTGAACCCAGGAGGCGAAGTTGCAGTGAGCTGAGATGGCGCCACTGCACTCCAGCCTGGGTGACAGAGCAAGACTCCATCTAAAAAAAAAAAAAAGGAGAAAGCAGGGCTATCCAGATGGTTTCAGAAGAGTCTTTGTTACTTAAATCTTCCTAATAACATTTGTTTCTCAACATTATTTTAACATAAGAAAAAAGGCCAGCACTGTGGCTCACACCTATAATCCCAGTGTGCTCTAGGAGGCTGAGGCAGGAGGATCACTTGAGATTAGGAGTTCAAAACCAGCCTGGGCAACCTAGGAAGACCTAATCTCCACAAAAATTTTTTTTTAATAGCCAGGCATGGTGGTATGGGCCTATAGTCTCAGCTACTCCAGAGGCCAAGGTGGGAGGGTCACTTGAGACCAGGTGTTCAAGGCTGCAGTGAACTATGATCACATACCACTGTACTCCAGCCTGGGTGACAGAGCATAATTCTGTCTCTTAAAAAAAAACAAAAACAAAAAAAACACCAAAAACCTTATTTCTTAAATTCAACCAGTAAATTTGTATTATTGCACTTTAGTATAGATGCCTAGCTGATTGTAATCGGTCGGTTGGATAAGTATGCATCACTTCCTTTCATATTTTGTATGTGAGTTTACAAATATATATGTATATACATGTTTTATTCTTAGTTTCTCCTTTGTTTTCCTCAAAAAGGTTAAGTGGTAGAACCAGGAATAAAACCCAGTCTTCTGTCTCCACACCTTCCTTTTCAAGGTGTGCTTTAATTACATCTTCACTATTGTTGATAGTATACTAGGTTATAGAGCAATTTATCACAAGTTTTAAGATATAACAAAGTGAAATCAGTTTAACTGTTGACTGTTTAGATACTGTAATGTTTTTGTTAACATACAAACTTGCTTTCTTATATCCCTTCTGTAGGCTGTTGAAGCCAAGGAAAAACAAGATGAACAAGTTGGACCTCCTGGGAAAGGGGGGAAGGCCAAGGGGAAAAAAACACAAATGGCTGAAGTTTTGCCTTCTCCACGTGGTCAAAGAGTCATTCCGCGAATAACCATAGAAATGAAAGCAGAGGCAGAAAAGAAAAATAAAAAGAAAATTAAGGTAATACTCTCGCCGTGGCTCACACCTGTAATCCCAGCACTTTGGGAGGCCAAGGTGGGTGGATCACTCAAGGTCAGTGGTTTAAGACCAGCCTGGCCAACATGGTGAAACCCTGTCTCTACTAAAAATAAAATTAGGCGGGCATGGTGGCGGGTGCCTGTAATCCCAGCTACTTGGGAGGCTGAGGCAGGAGAATT